TTCCACTGCTTTGTAGACTCGAGAACAGGCAACTTGATCAGAAGTGAAGGAGCTGGGACTCAACCGGGGTCGTGTGCAGTGCCAGATTTGCAACCTACGCAACAAAACCCCTGGGCCACAGCAGCTTATAATAGAAATGTTCAACATTCCTGAAAGACATGTCATTTATCAAACTAAACTGGATCTAATTATCTATATTCCAAATTTCCCATCTCAAACCAGTTTTTTCCTTCACATAGTTTTCTCATAAATACACAGATATTATTTGCTGAATATTGTATTTTAAAAGTGAAGAAAAGGCCCGGCACAATGGCTTAGTGTCTAAATCTTCACCTTCCAAGTGGCTGAATCGCATATGGGTGCCAGTTCGTGTCCCACCTGCTCCACTTCCCATCTAGCTCCCTACTTGTGGTCTGGGAAAGCAAAGAACGGCCCACAGCCTTGGGATCCTGCACTCGCATGGGAGACCTAGAAGCTCGTGATTTCAAATTGGTTTAGTTCCTCTTGCGGCTGCAATTTCTTGGGAAGTAAACCAGCAGATGAAATTTTTTCCTGTCTCTCCTTCAGTCTGTAATCTACCTTTCCATGAAAGGAAATAAACTTGGGGGAAAAAAAGTGCAGAAAAAAACAAATCTGTTCGTTCTTACCCCTGGTATAACCTTGCAGGGCATATTTTAAAAATTAATTTATTCATTTTGAAAGGCAAAGAGACCGTCCATCTGCTGGTTCACTTCCAAATGGCCCCAACAGGCAGGGCTGGGCAGGACCCAAGCCAGGAACCCAAGCCAGCCACTCCCATGTGGTGCAGGGGCCCAAGCACTTGAGTCATCTGCTTGCTGGGGAAATCAGCCAGGAGACAAGCAGAACTCACAGCAGGGCCCTTCTGGATGCTGGCATCAGGTGGCAGCTTTACACTGCTGCATCGTGGCACCAGTTCCAAGGTCCTAATTCCTTGGCAGGCTTCAAATCCCGATTCATGTTCTTGAGCCCAAATGCTGTGACTGTCTACCGCACCAGGTAGGTGACCAAGCAGTTCTCGCCTCTGACCGTGGCAAACACCTGTGAGAGAAGAGCCAGTGTGGCTGACGCCCCCAGGATGGTAGCCACGCAGACAGCGGCCCTCGGGTCTTCACCATCTTCTCAGCTCTACACCTCCAAAAAACACATGTTCTGTATTTCTGCTTGTTTTCAAGCATCCCAAGCAGAAAAGTGGTCTGAACTACCAATTACACGCTGTCTTGTACCTTCAAGTTTCCAATTCCTTCTAAGTATTTGAAAGATACTTCAGGTGGCTATCATCTAGATGAAAATGAATGTTAGGTCAACCTTTTGTCTCCTCTCCTGTACACAGTGGCCAAGTGTTCTCTTCCATTTCTAGGCGTTCTACAAAAGCAGTTCCAGGGGTCTGGCGTGAGAGCCTAGCAGCTAAAGTCCTCACCTTGCATGCGCCAGGATCCCAAATGGGCACATGTTCTAATCCTGGCAGCTCCACTTCCCATCCAGCTCCCTGCATGTGGCCTGGGAAAGCAGTGGAGGATGGCCCAAAACCTTAGGACTCTGCACCCATGTGGGAGACCTGGAAGAGGCTTTGGCTCCTGGATTTGGATTTGCTCAGCTCTAGCCATTGTGGCCGCTTGGGGCGTAAAATCAACGGATGGGAGATCTTCATCTCCCTTTGTATATCTGACTTTCCACTAAAAATAAATCTTAAAACAGAAGCAGTTCCAGATTATAGAGCCCTCGTCAATGAAGAAGCCAGTTCCCATTCCTGACATGAGCTTCCTTTTACAGCTCCACAGGGGGAGAACCTGCACTGCTTCCTGCTTCTTGCTTCAGTCTTGGCTGTTATGAACAAGCAGAGATCTCGTCTCAGCCTCTCAAAGCTGCCAGCTTCCCAGAAAACAAGGTTATCCTCACATCTGTGCTCTTATCTCCCAACTTGCCTTTTCAACAGTATAGTGAAAGCAAGACTAAAGGCTAAAAAGAAAGGCCACCAGCAGCAGCCAGAGATAACACGGCCCAGAGCCGGTAGGACAGTGTGTCGAGCGGGCAGTGCACAGCTTCCCGAAACAGAACCATGATGACTGCTGGAATTCAGGTCGGAATTCATTCCCTGGCACACCCAAGCAGCTGTCTCTCCCTCCCCCAGCTTCCTGCCAGTGGCCCCTGGGAAGCTGCAAGCAACAGCTCGCTTGGTGAAAGTTCCACACCAACCACATGGGAAAGCTGGCTCCAATTCTCCACGGCTGCCTCTGGTCTGGCCCCGCCCTGGCTAACGTGGTGAAATAGCAGAGGACACAGCTCTGTGCTTTAAACAACTTCTAAATACAGGACAAAGGGAAAGACAAAGTACTTGATAAACGATCAGATTGTGTGACGCTGTGGGACGGGATGCCTAAACCTGCCTCTACAACTTCACTGGCAAGTTACTTAACTTCACGTCCAAAACAGCCTGTTCATTTAGGCCAGAGGAAGGCCAAGCTGAAGTACACCACATCCATTTTTAGGGAAACAGCTTCAAAACCTGAAAAAACATCAACTGCTAAATGGCAGACACTGCACATGATGGTTCAGTTGGCTAATCCTCCTCTGGTAAGCTCATGGGGGCCTGGGGGGTGCAGGATCACAGGAGGCTAAGGGTGATAGCACCATAAAAATTGGAAGATTTGTGGTCTGTTGATGGAGTCCATGTGTCAGAACTGGGCTTCTTCAGTTGCTGACGCCGTGCAGTGGATAGCACGTCCAGATGCACATGGGGGCGGGGGGTATAGCAGTTCACTGGGATTTGCAGAGGACATCTAGTATTACAGCAGAGGATGGGAAGAACAAATTGCATAGCTCTCCCAGCAAAGCACTGACAGGAAGTATCTGGGGAAATGGCAACTCTGAATGTGGACTATGTCAGTCAACGGCCCTTGAGCTTCCCCATCCATGTTTCAGAACTACCAAAGCACTTGAGCAGTACCCTCGGAGCATGCTCCGATTCAGGCCCTGGGATAACACGACGTGGCCCATTCCCCATCCCTGGTTACGACTGTGGTTGAATCCTGGGTGTGGCTTCTCCCTTTCTCTGCCCCTTTTCCCCAGCTGCAAAGAGAAAATTGTAAACAATGGCTGTGTCCACTTTCCTCCACCCCTCTTTGCCCCTATTCCTCCATCTCTCCCACTCCAGTCAGTGGTCTACGTGGGCATGCATCCTCCTCAGAACTGTAATCATCAAAATAAAATTTCTAAAAATTACCCTTTTTTTTTTTCTAAAATAAAAAGCAATGTTGGGGCACCGTGGGCATGTTGGGCAAACATGCCGCCTGTAGCACTAACATCTCAATATGGATACCAGACCAAGGCCGAGCTGCTCCACTTGTAACCCAGCCTGAAAGAACGGCAACCTCAAGTGCTTGGGAGACCCAACAGAAGCTCCTGCAGTCGTAGCCAACTGGGGATTCAATCAGATGAGAAAATGTGTCTCTTCCCAATCTTTCACATAAATTTTTACAAAAAAAAAAAAAAAAAAAGAGGGGTGGTGGTGAATTGAAATCCTGACATTCGTGGCTGTGTGACGTTTTAGAAATGTCTGGACACAAAACCCCGATTACTCACAGTGGTCAGAGTTCTCAGAATTGCCCAGATTCCCACAATATCTGATATTAGGGAGTCTGCAGACAGTAAAGCTGTTTATATTGTCCTTTCAAGATTTATTTTTAGTGGAAAGGCAAGTTTACGCAGAGAGACAGAAGATATTCCACCTGGTCACTCTCCAAACGGCTAAAATGGCAGGAGCTAAACCTACCTGGAGCCAGGAGCTCCTGGGTCTCCCAGGTAGGTACAGGTTCCCAAGAATTCGGGACCACCCTCTGCTGCTCCATTTCTCATCCAGCTCTACTTGTGGTCTGGGAAAGCAGTAGAGGGTCCTCAAAGTCTTAGGATCCTACATCCATGTGGGAAACCCAAAGATGCTCCAGGCTCCTGGCTTTGGATAGGCTCAGCTTCCTCTGACCTCCACAGCTATTTAGGGCGTGGATCAGTGGATTGGGTGTGAAACAGTGTATGGAAGATGTTTTTCTTTCTCTCCACAAATCTTTATATACACATACACCCTTTAAAAAAAAAAAATTCATTTTGTCAGATTAACACAGCTGTACTGATCTGAAGCCAGGAACCAGGAGCTGCTTCCAGCTTTCTCACACAGGTGCAGGGTCTCAAGGCTTTGGGCCATCCTCTACTGCTTTCCCAGCCCACAAACAGGGAGCTGAAAGGGAGGTGCAGCGGCTGGGATAAAAAATGGCATTCATATGGGATCCTGATGAATGCAAGGCAAGGACTTCAGCCACTAGGCCTCTGCACCGGTCCTAACCGCACAGCATTTATCTTCAAGGACTATGGCTACGTATGAAGTATCACACCAAGAAAGCAGTATTCACAGAGGAGAGCTCCCAGCCAACAGCCCATGAACATTCCATCAGCAGTTACAACAAATGGGTCAATAAACAGCAGAGAAAGGATGCAAGGCAAATATAACCAGGAAGTTTCCTTTAGAAACTCAAAATCCTACTAGGTTTGAAGTGTACCTCTCATACTGCTCCCATCTTTTGCCTTCATCTTTACGTTCCTGCTGCTTTCTATTTGTATACAATCATCTCTACAGTTTAAACCACTTGGAGATCTCTGACAAAGGGAAATGGTGCACATTACAACTGCAGTACTGGCTCATGTTTCTAAGATTAACACTCTAAAAACAACTACCAGTACAGCTGTCACCAGAGATAAAATGCCCTTAATGCTCAATTTCACTAAGTCTGGGGGATAGCAAAGAACTAGACATGTGAATGTCAAAATTTCAGCTAATTACCCAAACTGCCTTTTTTGAGTCAGAGCTAGCTAAGTTTCTCACTCCAGAAACATCAAACCCAAAAACGAGTTACTTGCCTTGAAAAACACTGCCTAAAAACAAAAAGAAACATACAAACAACTCTTCACGTATGCACATAACACATCACTCCTTGAAATTTAAAGAAAAAATTTATTGAAGATCTGAAAAACAATTCCTAAAAGATCAACTTTTCCAGAAAACTGTAACTACACAATGCATTGCGTCTATTGTGTTAAAACGTGCATTAGACACAAATACAAAACCATGAAACAAGCCACCATTCTCCAACAATTGAGCAAAGATAAAATGCCTAAGGAACAACATGGATGACTTGCCAAGGGTGGGCTCTTTACTTTAAGCACCATAAAAAAAGAGAAAAAGGAGGGGGGGGAAGGAGAGAAAAGCATAAATGGATGCGTGTGTTCAGTTATATACACGGAATTGAACCTTTGGCACTAGGAGTCAGAGCATCTTGTCATAGAGCATTAACACATATTATAAAAGTGCGTAGTGTCAAAGGACGAGAACCACCAGCATTCAAAAGCAGCTTTGTCAACTAGGCAATAGAATACTCTACAGCACGTCCCTCTGCTGTCCACCACTGAATACACTGGTAGCAACTTTGAAATGAGTAAAGTAAGAAAAGAAAAAAAGGGAGCTGCAACCCTTTTTAATTTTTCTGTTTAAAATCAAACAGAAAACAAACATCAATTCTGTTATACACTAACATCTTCAAAGTACATCATTTGTACAAGAGGACTAGAACAAAAACGTGTTTACAGAGATGCAAACATTAGTGAGTAAGTGAGTGAGTGGGTGAGTGACTGAGCAAGCCTCTCACACGGCTTTCCGGTGGTACTCGGGGGGAGCCACTTCATAGTCACTGGCACTGAACAAAGTCGCAGAATTCTTTGCCAGGTACCTAGAAAACAAAATGGTTTTCATTATAAGGATTCTCTTAAGTCGAGTCACACAAACAGCAAAGAACATGTACTCCTTCAGAAGGCCAACTGGAGAGCAATTCTTTGACATTTTATGCTTCAATTAAAAAAAAAAAGAAAAAAACCTACATGTTTTTAGTGCTCTGAAATTGGTTGAAACAAACTCAGAACTTAAAACTTTAAGCTTGAAATGAACAGTACTTTAGAAAAAGGGGAGAGGGGGTGCTGGCGCTATGGCATATCAAGTTAAAGAGCTTAAACACTAGCACCCTATATAGGAGCACCTGTTCATTCATGTCCCAGCTGCTCTTTTCTTATCCAGCTCTCTCCTACTGTCCTAGGGAGGCGGCAGAGACCGGCTCAGTGCTTGGGATCCTGCCACCAGGACCAAGAGGGAATTGTGACCCTTGGCTTCAGCCCAGCCCAGCCACGAGATCTGTTAGTCAACCAACAGATGGCAATGTCCTTTCACTCGTGAGCTTCTGCTGTTCAGATACGCACATCCTAATAAATAAATACATAAATAAATAAAGGATCTGGTGCAAGGGCACAATGGCTATATCCTCACTGTGCAAGTGCTGGGAACCTGACCATGTCCCAAGTACTCCACTTTGCATGTAATTTTGCATGTGGCCTAAGAAAACAGTACAGCATGGACCAAAGACTGGAGACCCTGCACCCACATGGAACACCCTAAGGAACCTCTTGTCTTCAGACTGGCTCAGCTCTGGCCACTGTGGCCATTTGGGAAGTAAATCAGTGGACAGAAGATCTTTGTCTCTTCTCTCTGTAAATCTGCCTTTCCAGTAAGAATAAATCATCTTTAAATAATAATACAAAATATATATAAGAGAGGGGGTGCTGGTACTGTGGCATTGTGAATTAAGCAACTACCTGCAGTGCAGGCATCCCTACGGGAGGCAATTCAACCCTTGGCTGCCTCCCCTCTGATCTAGTTCCTTGCTAAGGCGCCTGGGAAAATGCTGGGGCCATAGTTGCACTCACACAAGAGATCCAGAAACAGATCCTAGCTCCTGGCCTTATTACCCAGCCACTACAGCCATCTGACAAGTGAGCCAATGGATATAAGACCTCTTTCTCTCTGTAGCTATTTCAAATAAATAAATCTCCCTTGGAAAAAAAAAGTGTTTAGGAGGAGACGTCCTAAAGCATTAAGTAACAGTACATTTCTGTCACTAACAAGTCTAAATAAAGGTTTCAGGCATTGGTAAAGCCAAGGACTTTAAATTCCCCAACACCCACAGCAGTTCTGAAAATTATCATCATAAAATATGCCATCATTGGGAAGCACCAAGCCAGGCCAAATTCCAACACCATCTGGTGCTCTGGAGGACCGGGGAAGGGTTGTGTGACAGACTAGGTTAGGTCTCAGCCCTTACTGAACCATGTGTGAGCTTGGTAGGGGTATGGAAGAGCCATGGCTGGGTTGAAATATCCAACAACAAGAACCAGCTTGGGTCGGAGGCCAGGCAGGAAAAGCCACTGTTCCTCCTAGGATAGCAGGCGAACTGAGTAGTGCTGGCTCATGGACCCACTGGTATGCGCGAAAACTGGCATTGGGACAGGTTCTGGTGGAGGAGCCCGGGCAACTCCTCTGGCAGGACACAGTCCCATGCAGGTAAGCGCAACAAGCACAATAGGGAACAACCCAAAACAGGCAATGAAAATTATCCCACTGGCATACACATGGCATGGGTTGGGGGCAGACCAGCCTGAATCTGTTCACATTACCTTCTGGTGAATCCGAGCACCAGAACAGAGTGTGGGTCGAGCCAGGTTCGGTTGCAACACATACCAGTACACAACAAGTAATGCCAAGGTGAGATGAGCCGTACCAGATGTGGCTGCAGCACACAACCAGCACATGTGACAATCAGGGAGGAGGCAAAGCCAACAGGGGAACGTGGGCACCCCTGCTGGATAACTACTTCCATTGGAAAGTGTGAATACGGATGGGGGCAGTTCAGACTAGGCAGGGCTATAGCACCTGTGGGCCTCACGGTGAGCTGACTGTTCTGACTGGTGCAAGTTAAAATTAGAGTGGGTTGAGGGGTGTTTGGGCTTAGCCACAGCATTAGCTGGCAGAGGCTGGTACTAGGAGCCAATTCTGACAAGTCAAATGCCAAAACTACCTGGAGACTGCATACTCTAGGAGTGGGTGTGGCCTAGTAGGGAAATAGTGGGCACCTCCCTCAGGGTTACCACCCTCACTGGACAGCAGGAAACCCAGGCTAGGAGCAGGGGTGGCTTGACAGAAAGGCACCTGCCAGTGGGTGTATGGGCTGGATAATAGGTTGGTTGGGTTGAACCAGGCTTCAATGTCCATTGACGTGTGCGAGAGCTACTTGGGATGTGGGACAGACTGGACAAGCCTGCAGTGCATACTGGCAAGCATGGGAACCAGGTTAGGGGGCAGAACTGGTAGGGGTTTTGGGGAGTCGCCTCAACTAGGCTGCAGCTCCAACTGGTTTGCATGAAGACCGAGTATGAAGTGGGTAGAATCGAGCTGGACTGCAACACCCATTGGTTCACAAGGAAGACAGGGCTGGAAGCCGAACGGACCCAGTAATCGCAACGACCAGCATATGCATAAGCTGATTGGTGTGACGCACAGTGTTGGAGTCTGTACTAGCAAACTCACTCAAGAATCAGATCTGGGATCAACTCAGATGAAGTTTCTTTGGATATTTCTCCAACTGAACTGCTGATCTTGGAACCCCAACCATCAAGAGAGCCAGTGGACTCTGAATAGGTTTCATTACGGTTGGGACGGAGAGATTGGCAGCAATCCAGAACTGATGAACTATCAAAACTGTATGAGCAGGACCCTTGGAGCGCGCCTCATGTTGGGGATGGGGGATGGGTGGGAGGTAGGGTGGGGCTTTCCCCTTTGTTACTCCCCTAACCCTACATACAGGGCAAAATGATTATATTAGTGTGGAAACAATGATATTACCCACTTTCACCCTGTAGCCCGTGACCCTTTGTACCCTAATAAACTAAGATTATTAAAAAATAAATAAATAAATAAATAAACATTTTAACTAAAAAAAAAAAAAAAAATATGCCATCATTAAAGAAGGTTTCAAATATAGAATGTTCAAAGCAGAAAATGAAAACCTTTAATTCCAACATTGGGTCCAAAAACGGATCCACCATATTAACTATAGTGATTCTTAACTATAGCGATTCTCAAAAACCACAAGTTTCATTACAAATGAGGGGGATTATACCATATCCTACTACCACTGTGTTTCCTGATCTAAAAGAATACTTTAAAAAGTTGGAAATGTAATTTAAAGCATTTTGCAAAATGACCAAAAAAAAAAAAAAAAAAAAACTAAAAAAGGAAGGAAAAAAAAAACTATGGGTAAAAACCTTGAAGAAACCATACAAATATTCAGGATTTCTTTTTCACAAAAATTTTCTAGTATCATTTTCTACAAACCTTTTTAAGTAACCCTAGTATTAATGAACTTATCATTCTAACATAAATCTCTTGTAATTAAATATGCAACACTGTCTTACATGACAGAAATGGCCACCAACAATCTGAGGAGCCAAGATTGCAGACTCCTTTTCCACACTTCTTCACTTAAATTGTGAGCCAATCTAACAAAAAAATACTTTACTGGGGCTGACGTTGTGGCACAGGGAATTAAACTGACACCTTCAACACCAGTCATCTCATGTGGACACCAGCTGGGAGTACTGACCATTCCACTTTCAACCCAGCTCCTTGATAATATGCCTGGGAAAGTAGCAGAAACACTCTAAATGCTTGGACCCCTATAACCATGCAGGAGAAACGAATGAAGCTCCTGCCCTTGGCTGGCCCTATCCCTGGGTAATAGGGTCACCAGGAGAGCCAACAGGGAAGATCTCGAACTCTGCCTTTCAAATAAATCTGAGAGGCGAAAAAAAACTTCAAATACAGAAAAACCTCCAAGCACTGGTATATTATAACCATATGGGTGCTGATTTGTGTCTCAGTTGCTCTACTTCCCATCCAGTTCCCCGCGTAGGACTTACGAAAGCAGGATGGACCAAACCCTTGGGACCCTGTACCTATATGACAGACCTGGAAGAAGCTGCTGGCCCCAGATTGGCTCAACTCTAGCTGTTGTGGCCATTTGGGGCATGAACCAGCAGATGCGAAGTCTTTCTATCTCTCCCCCTCTCTGTAAATCTTTCCAATAAAAATAAATAATTCTAAAAAAATAAATAAATAGAAATCTTTTATCTTCTTATACTGAACATTATTTCTGGAGGTCCTTTATTCTGTAATTATATAAATTCCCCATGTCCTACTTTACCCTGGTTTCAATCTTAAGAACTATACTAAACAGAGTCCTTTACAATGTGTAATACATATATATTATTATGAAAAAGTTACCCTAAATTACCTTACTGGTTTTAACTTTAGATTCTTCTAGTATTTTAATACATGAAATTAAGACTCTTCAAAGGATCTGCCAGTTCCTTATCTGCATTTAAGTCTCCCCACTATTGTACTCATTGTGTCCAAGATGCTCACAGGTTTACACATGCATTGTTCCATCAACCACACACATTCACACCAATCCCACTGCTAAGTCCTAGCATTTATATTGCTAAGCTCTTATTATAGAGTATTTTTGGCACACTATACTAGTTCAAGTTTCTAATTTTAAGAATACATAAGACTTACTTCAGGAAATCATGAAGGTAATTCAGCAATAAAGCAAGGCTCTTCTCATCCAGAGGCGTATAGGCCAACATCGCTCCAATTCGTACTATTTAACAAGAACAATTTGGTCTACATTACACTTAAGGCAGCACTTAACTATACAGCTTTGTTGATTTTCATAGTTTGCTACTTAATATTTTACATAAAGATTCTAAATGGTATGCATTCTCAGTTTAGTTTAGAAAGTTAATATTACTTCTTACTTTAGGAGGAAAAAGGAAAAAAAAAAAGGGAAAAGCTATGTTTTCTAAGCAGTATTACCAAATAATCGCAGCAGATGCGGTGCCCCATACACCTGGGACATGGGTGCGTCGGGGTGATCGGCAAGGATTTCAGCATACTGTGGCCTCTCGAACTTGTACAGCAGCTGAGTGCCCAGCATGACATTGAAATACTCCTTTATCCCTGCCACAACTTCATTAACAGCATATTCCCTGATAAGAAGGAAGAACGTTAAAAAGAGGTCACAGGAAAAAGACTCAAATAGTTCAACGAACATGTAGGCAAAGCAGTAAAACTAACAAGGTAATGTAAAATAAACGTCAAATATGTACAACCTAGGATATGGCAGACTAACTCTCAAAATGTCCTGGTTTTTAAAAATATTTCAAAGAGTTGGGTCCAGTGTGGTATCCCAAGGGCAAATCCTTGCCTTGGGAACCCTGGGATCCCAATGGGCACCAGTTTGTGTCCCCCCTGCCTCACTTCCCTTCCATCTCCTGCTTGTGGCCTGGGAAAGTAGTTAAGGACAATCCAAAGCCTTGGGACTCTGCACCTGAGTGGGAGACCCAGAAGAATCTCCTGACTCCTGGCTTCGGATCGGCTCAACTCTGACCACTGTGGCCACTTGGGAAGTAAACCAGCAGATGAAAGATCTATCTCTCCTTCTTTCTTTAAATCTGACCTTCCAGTAAAACAAATAAATTTGTAAAGAATATATTTACTTATTATCTGTGTTTCCACGGGATTTCTTATAATTCGCATAATCCTCCAGAATGGAATCCACATTCTTCTTGGCAGGAAGATAAAAGAGCTATGAAAATAAAAAACACATAACATATTTAAAGAAGAAAATCACTTGCTGTACATCACATGTCAGTTTCAATTCGAAAGTTTCATTCTAACAGCAACATGAAGTAGAGACTACTATCCAACCCAATGTAGACTAAAGCTACCATCTGTCTAATCTCAGAGGTAGGAACTGGTGGAGCCATACCAGTCCTGGCAGCTCAGCTGGAAAGCAGTCCTCAGAGGACTCCAATCAGGACTCACCCCACATCCAAATAGTGTGAGTAAGTGTTCATCATCCTGCATTCTCAACCCCACTCTCAAATTCCTCTAAAATTGCTTCTTTTGTTCTAAAAAATGTCTTAACCAATAGTCTTTTTGTGATGTCCAATTGCTGCTCTATTAAACATCCCCATATCTGTAAGTTAGTAATTGCACATAGGAGCATGACTGGTCTCTGGTTTTCTTGGGGAGTGGGACCATGACCAAACCTTTAGAGGTGGCACTATGTGCTTTCTACTGCATTAGCAGGGACGTGACTGTGGATGGTCCAATCTCACTGACAATAAACACACATACAACTTTTACCAACTTTCAGAAGCCTTCCTGCTCTAACCTCCAATTATCTCCTACTTTTCCTAAACCATTAATTCATAAAATTATCACAAAGTTTTCTGCCTCTAAGTTATTCTACACTAATTGTTCAGTCTCTAAAATATTATTCATCAGTCATACCATAACATTTTCTTTTTGAAGTAGAAAATTATGCGGTGAAAAGAATTTGATCATATAGCTTACGATCTGTGATGTTCCAAATTACCTGTTTTTGTCTGGTAATTAAGTCCCAGTCATCAACAAGCCACGGTTTTAGCTCTTCAGGAATCTTCACTTTAACTTCCACTCTGTTCATGAATGTTTCTTCCTAAATACAAAAAAAAAAAAAAAAAAAAAAAAAACTATCAGAAACCTATCCTTTCTTGCTGAATAGCAACTCTTAAACACAAGATTTTTGGTTTTTGTTTGTACTTTTAAAAGCCCTAGGTATAGACTGATTGCTTTGAGTTGCCAAATGTGCAATCAGAGTTTTCTTTCTAAAATTAGCATTAAGAGATACCACATACCCAGTCCCTGGGACAAAGGAGGTAGGCAAAATATATAATCTTGAAATTAAGTCTATTCTACTTTGAAGTGAAATTAAAATTCTGACAAAATATTTCCTCTCCTTCTGGAAGTATAATGTCTACAAGTAAAAAGATACAGGCACATCTTTGGGTTTTTTTTTTTTAAAGATTTATTTATTTTTATTACAAAGTCAGATATACAGAGAGGAGGAGAAACAGAGAGGAAGATCTTCCATCCGATGATTCACTCCCCAAGTGAGCGCAATGGCCGATGCTATGCCAATCCAAAGCCAGGATCCAGGAACTTCTTCCAGGTCTCCCACAAGGGTGCAGGGTCCCAAAGCTTTGGGCTGTCCTCGACTGCTTTCCCAGGCCACAAGCAGGGAGCTGGATGCCAAGTGGAACTGCCGGGATTAGAACCGGCGCCCATATGGGATCCTGGTGTGTGCAAGGCGAGGACTTTAGCCGCTAGGCCATGCTGCCGGAGCCTGATTCATTTAATTAATTAATTAATTGACTGAGTTATATGATAGATTTGATGTGGGAAGAGACTACAGCCATGGAGAAGCTCACTCAGGACCTTCCTTAATTGTCACTAAACACATGATGCCAAAAGCAGGATGAGCAAACTTGTAGATTCCAGAGTGAGCAGCCTTGTCCCTTAGGCAGTAATTATCCTGCGGCTGTGAAGCAGTTCTAATCCCAGCAGCCCGCTTCCCATCCAGCTCCCTGCTTGTGGCCTGGGAAAGCAGTCAGGGGTGGCCCAAAGTCTTTGGACCCTGTACCTGCATGGGAGACCTAGAAGAGGCTCCTGGCTCCTTGTTTCAGATTGGCTCAGCTCAAACGATTACACACACTTAGGGAGTGAATCAGCAGCAGAAGATCTTCCTTTCTCTCCTGGCTACTCCACTTGTGATGCAGTTCCCTGATTATAGCCTAGTAAGGTAGTGGAGGATGGCTCGCCCCCTGCACTCACATGGGAGACCCATAAAAGCTCTGGCTACCCACTTCAGATCAGCTCAGCTCTAGCCATTGTGACCATCTGGGAAGTAAATCAGAAGTTGGAAGACCTTCACTTTTCTACCTCCTCTCTGTAAAATCTAATGAACTGTTAAAAATCTTTTTAAAAACGTACAATTTGGAAATGATTGATTCAGATGCAAAGTGCAACTTTCCATGAGATCATGTAATATATACAACTGAATATCAAAATCCAGTCAAAACCTGTGTTTTCTCCCAGGATGAACACTTGGCCTAAGGAAATCAATTTAGCTTCGGTGGTGCTTAATTTCAGTAGTTAACCTACAGATGCTAACGATTTTCTCATATTCAAAGTTTTATTTGTTCTTATGTGCCAGAATTTGTGAGACTAAAAACTAACAGATGATGCAAGAAAAACTCACATTTTCAACGGTAGGGTCTACGCGGGCCCTTTTCTTCCGAGGAGGCTGAGGAGTCTCACTGGTGCTGCCACCATCTCCATTCCCCGGTGCTATCCAAACACGGGCCAGGCAGAGCGAATGAAAATATTCAGTTAGTGAACATTCTATAAAAATTAACTCAACAGATTCTCTACTATCACATAACTCTACTTGGATCTAAGTCAAAGAATTCTTTTCCTACTATTTTTTCTAGGGTCAACTCCACCAAGCATTTAGTAGAGGCTATATCATGCTATCTTCCATTAATTTATATTTTAAAAATTCACCTTTCCCAGGAAGTTATAAAGTTAATTTTTCACCAGTGTCCATTTGGTATTAGGATGTGTCGTCACCATTATGTCCCAATCTCTTAACACGCAGTGAGACTCATTTGAGATTATCAACAGACATACGTAGTGGAATTTATGAAAGTTAATTCTTACCTTTCTGTTTATTCTTCTTTGTTTTCCTGAATGGAAGGAGGGGAAAAAAATTATTTCTAGTAACATAGCCTTCTGATTCTATTCTTCCGTATCACTGTTACATGCAAAGGTACACTGCCTCAGCTGAAATGAGGTAGTACAAGGCCTCCTGCACACACAGATTTTTGTTACTTAAATTTGTATCTCCCTCCATAAAAAAAATAAATAACCCAAGAATACATGATTTACTTCCTTCCTTCTTTTTTATAAACAAAAGCATGATTTTTTTTAATTACACTGAAAAGGTAACACTACATTACAAAAGAATCACATTGCCCGCTCCAAGAACTTTCAAAATGTCTACTTTGCCCTATTATTTTTGTTCCTCTTCCCAAAACATGTATTTCTTCTCTAAACTATAGGACTTCCTTTTCAATATCATATACTCTTCTCTCCTATGTAGGACATGGAGCTGACGTAGCTCCTGCATACTGGCTGTCCTCTTTAACAACAAGCCTATTTACACCCCAAACTACCCAATCAATAGTTACTTCTAAAACACAAGGAAAACATTTATGAAAGCCATAATTATGGATTACTTTTGTAGGATCATACCAAACATCTGAATGTTCTGTAGTTTTTGTCTTTTTTTGTTTTACAGATTTATTTACTTTCACTTGAAAGGCAGACTGAAACCAGGGGTGGAGACCATCCAGGTCATGTGCAAGGCCCACAGAATTACTGCTCATTTCATATACCGCCTGCGGCTGTTTTAAACATCCAAATGACTCTCGGCAGAAAAAAACGTCTCCTCCTTCCAGCATTTAAACAACGTATTGGCTCGGAGTTAATTTACAACTCAGATTAACTTAGTTGGTTTTCAACATGAAAATATGGCCAGCCTGAATTACATGATTATACCTGCCCCTTTAAAGTTCACTATCTTAACCATTCGCTATGCAATACTTCTGAGTCAGAAGTACTGAGTCCTACATATCAGTTAATAAATGCAGAAGGCTCGATTCTTCACCCACCCCATACTATAAAATTAAAATGTTGACAACCAATCTGGTCTCTGAAGTACAGGATCTGTAAACTATACTTTCATGTCTAATGGTGAGAACTACTGAAAGTTCTTGCTTTTAAACCTTTTGTTCAAAGTATGACCAAAGCAACCATGTAAGTTTCTCAAATTATGTGACAGTTATCATACAACTCATCTATTGTCTGTATCACCTATGAGTTTCCTAATGAGTCAAAGCGAAAGCCAATAACATTCTGCTTCCTGGGCCCGGTGTGGTAGCCCAGTGGCTAAAGTCCTCGCCTTGCACACACCAGGATCCCATATGGGCACCTGTTCTAATCCCAGCAGTCCCACTTCCCATCTAGCTCCCTGCTTGTGGCCTGGGAAAGCAGTCAGGGATGGCCCAAAGTCTTGAGACCCTGTACCCACATGGGAGATCCGGAAGAGGCTCCTGGCTCCTGGTTTTGGACTGGCTCAGCTCTAGCCGTTGTGGCCACTTGGGGAGTGAATCAGCAGACAGATCTTCCTCTTTCAATATATTTGATTTTTCCAATAAAAAACAAAATAAATCTTAAAAAAAAATTTTTTTACTTCCTATCAAGTTCCCTGTTAATGGGTCTGGGAAAGCCGAAGATCACTCCTACACTCAGGACCCTGCCACCGACATGGAAAATTCAGATGTTCAGATTCCTGGCTTGGGCTATTACAGCATTCTGGGAGTGAATAAACGGATGAAGATCTCTCTTGTGCATTACCACAAGAAAAGAGAAAGGAGGCACCTATTATACATAAAATAAGGACAATGCATTTAAATGCATTTCCAATGACTAACAAGTCACACCTAAGGAATGGGAATATCGGTGTCAAAGCTTCCACATTCCAACTACAGATTGGAATTAAGACTTCTAGAACAATATGTAAACTAAAGCTGCTTACACATCGACATTTTTCTGTTGCAGACCAGAGGTTTTCTTTCCTGGAGCAGCCCCTCTCATCTTCCCCTCCGCATACTGTTCCCTTCAAAAACAAGTTCAGTAAAATCATCAAAACACACGTACCTTTGTGAGAAAATATACTGTACCACCCTGGTTCCATTAGCAATTGATATTCAACTGGGGTCCTAAACTTAATCTAGCACCAAGTTTAGAACATGCTGGAAAAACAGACAATAAATTTTTTCCAAGTGGCAGGCATTCAGCACAGTGGTTGAGACACCACCTGAGCTGCCCATATGTAACGTTAACAAGTAGGTTTCAGCCCTTATTCCAGTGTCATGATAATGCAAGCCCTGGGAGGCAGCAGGACATGAGTCAAGCACTTTGGTCCCTGATACCTAAAATGGCTGAGTTACAGGTTCCTGGCTCTGGTCACACCAGTCCCACATGTTGGAGGTATTGGAAAATGAATCATTAGATGGAAGAGCTACCAGTTTATCAGATTTGAAGTCCATGAAATAAAATCTGACTGAAATAGAAAATAGATTGTGTTCCATACAATGGAACATTCCATAATAAAAATAACAACAAAAAAACCTGAACATTCCATTCCCGTTCGTTCTACTCATTAATCCTACTTTATCATTTCTTAAATACACATTACAACTTTCAGATTGGAGAAGTCTTTCAGGATCTTTATCATTCAATGTACTTTCAGAGTTACAGGATATCATCAGCGATGCCTGGCATTTTTACCCCACCAACAGTACCTTCCACAGAGCCCAACCAGGAATGAAATCTAGCCAAGGGTTTACACCCACAGCAATGTCAGCATTATTCCGCTGTTTTCCACCAAGCTCTAAGGACAGACTCAAGTACAGGTATGCTACCTCCTTTATCACTTGTCTGATCTTGAAATCAAAGCTGCAACACAGGAGAATCACTTTATAGGTAGGCAGCCAACAGGATTTCCACAATTCATTCCATGTCTATACCAAACTACACATTCCTCAAGTCGCCTCTCCAGACACTTACTGGTTGGCTTTCTGAAGCTCCCGCTGCTTCTGCAGATTGGTGTCCACATACTTGAGCACTCTGCTCTCTGGAACCCACTCATCCCAACTGGAAAAAAGCAAAGTTAAAATGCTCAAAAAAACATTCTCATTAAACTAGTATCCATTCCTCAATTTTTTTTAATACAGATTCAAAAGGCACAACTTTGGATTTGATGAATTGGCACTAAAAGTCCATTCTCAAATAAAATGAAAAGTCATACTCTGTAAAAGAGAAAGTATCATTCTCAGCTGCATTCCAAACACAAACTGCCAGTCAAACCCCAGCTGATGCAAACTTCACAGACGCAGTGTAGGAAAACAGTGTGCTTCCAAAAATTCAGGGAAAATAAATTAACAGCTAACAGCTTAAAATCTAGGTATATTATATTCTATTATATATTAGGTATATTATATTCTTCACCAAAATATTTTTTAAGCTTTTTTTTTAGCTGAATCATTAAAAAATGTGTTTTAATTACTTGAGAGCAGAACTCTCCCAACAGCTAGTTCATTCCCCAGGCACCCAGAAAACTGAACAAAGTCAAGAGCCTGAAACTCCATCTGTGGATAGCAGCAACTCAACCCCTGCAGCCACGCCACCACCTGCTGCTCCCAGGAATTCCACTAGCAGGAAGCTGGAATCCCAAGTGGATCAGCAGCTGCACCACCACTCAGATATGGGACACATGTGTACAAAGCAACATCTTAATGCATCTCCTTGTTCCATTACTCCACTGAATTTAAGTATACTAGTATAAACACTGAGTTCCAAAGTTGATAGTTTTGCAGAACAAAAGCATTACCTTAAAATTTTCTAATTGCCAAAGATGATATACATTAAGTAGTCTCAAACTTTTCAAAACACGAAAACAAGTATCAATATCAATAGCTTATAAGCAAATTTACATACTTCTCCATACCTCTCATTACCTCTAAGAACAATACAAAAGCACCCATCTCCCAGAATTGATAAGCCAAGCGAAATACCTGAAAACCACCTGGAAACCCTGGCACAGCAGTCAAGATCCAAACATCATCAGGTCTACCATGCTCAAATGTCACCTATACTGATTCAGCTTAACCAGACTTAACTTCCAAGGCTGATCAGAACTAGTTTGTCAAGATTAAGATTTGTCAGTCTGGTTTTCTTTTCCCCCAACTTCTCTTAGAGGAAGAGCCCTTTTCTCCTGCTGAGGGAGCTCCTTTAGTGACACAGTGAGGTCTAGTCTCAGGACTTCCCTTCTCCGACCTCTTACAGAGCCAAAAGGAAACATTCCTTAATGCAATCCTCAGTACCGCTTCCTAGAGAAAACTTTAAAACATGCATTTACCTAGAGGTCAGGAGGGGGTGGTGTACTGAGGGAGCTCCTTCAGCAACAGGAAAATGGGCTACAAGAGCCTCACGGGTCTTCAAAGCTTTTTCAGAGCGCCTGGGCCTCCCAGCACTTCTGATACAGACAGCACAGCACAAAGTAATCTCAGTAACCAGGTGCAGAATTCATCTTCAGCTATATTACGATTCATTCACAAAAGAAATACGTAAATGCCTGCCATCAAGTTCTTTTGGAAATTTTAAAGTATTTGCAGTTTCTGCTAATTTATAAATACCACCCAAGTTCCAATATTTGAGCTGTAGACATCCGTGACATATGGAAAGGAGCCAAGTACAAAAGCTGTGTTTACAACTTAGAAGTGAAATTCTAAATCCATTCTTAGTGTGCCAGATGTGGAGGAGTAAACCCAGCACCATGAATGTACTGTTTGCCTTTGATAGTTAACATTTTTAAACTTTTCAACACATGCACCAATAACATATTCTATTTACCCTACAGAGAATTAAAATTCTCATTATAACTCCCTCAACTTTATCCAGATACCCAGAGACTGTCACTAAGCAAATTACAGCTAAATAAAACATTAATAAAACAGTATCTTAAATTTCATTCTTCAGGAGCCAGCATTGTAAGCCACATAGGCAACTGCTGCCTGTATGCCACATATAGGCACAAATTTCTATCCTGCCTGTTCTACCTGCAATCCAGCTCCTTATTAACGGCCTGATAAAAGCAACAAAGATGGTCTAAGTGGCTTCTGCCACCAACACGGGAGACCTCTAAGAAGCTCTTGGCTTCAGAACAGACTGCCTCAGCTCAGCTCAGTTCCACCACTGTGGCCATTTGGGGAGTGAATCAGCAGATGACGGGGGAAAAAAAGCAGGAAACCTAGTATTGTCACAATAAATATTTATGTATTGTAGATTTCAAACTCCCAAGTTATATTAATGGAAGAAATATCCAAGGTTTGACAGTTCTGAGCTCTTAAGGTGGCAACATGAGACTAACAAGCAATTTGGATGTCTCCTGTAAAGCAAACTATTAGGACCAGTTACAGGCTAACAAAACTTTCCTCCCACAAGCACCAAGCAACCATCAAAACCAGATGCTGCTGCTCCCAAGGCCAGGTGACAAAATGTTGAAGTAGAAAACAACTCTGCCTAGTTGTGGGCAACTGCCTAGGATGCCTTGTTGGTAGGCAACTGTTACACTGCTGAAATAAAAGCATCCAACAGCCTGGCTAATGCCAAATTTGTGCTACAGTATGCCAGCACAGCTGCTTATTCTCTTACCTTTAAAAAAAATAAAGGTATGTGGGGAAAGCAGGTAACACCAGGCCAGTACATGTCACTTGAGGCTCCAAGTGAGAGGCTGCAGACTGCCCAGGGAAGGGGTGTGGGGTCATACTGAGTGGGAATATCTGGGAACGTGTGTTTGACAAGGAAGGAATGACTTCTAGGGTCTTCCACAGACCAGATCCCTGCACTCACAGGTAGACTATGGAGCTCAGAGTGGTTAAGAGAAGGGAAACTGAAGGTCATGTCTGGGTCAGGTCAAGGTACCTTCCTAAGTCAAGACCTGGCTGGGCCAGATAGCGCTAAGTGCCACCCACTGGTACACACAAAAACTGGGGTTAGGAGGCTATGCTGGCTGGCTCGGCTAGTCCACAGTACCCACACGTGAGTGCAGCAAGAGATGGCTCACACCAGGTTGGGCCACAGAAACCACCAGAATGCAAGAGAATGAGATATGGTGGGAGATTTTGTAGGGACTTGTGGGATCACCTCCATGGAACTGTAGCACCCATAGTTCCCACAGTGTTGGAGGTCAACTACAGCACATGCCAACACATGCAAAGGCCAGGACTAAGGGAAGATCAAGTCAAGCAAAGCCACAGTTCCACCTGCAAAACAGATCCAAGCCTGGGAGAGAGTTGGTAGTAGAGGAACTTTGGGAACTCCCCTGCTAGACCACAGCTTCCACTGGGAAGCACAACAGCCAGGGCTGGAGAGACAGGGCTCAGCAAGGCTGCAGCACCTACTGGCATGCACGTAGGCTGGGTTTGGGGGCTGGCCAGACTGTACTAGTCTCCAACACCCGCTGGTGCTCATAAGAGCTAAAATGGGCATGGGATGGCTGGGCTGGGCTGTTATCACCCACCTGCAAGAGGCAGAATGGGCACAGGCCAGTCAAGCAGGCCACAGTACCCACTGGGTAATGACAAGACTGGGGGCCCACCATATGAGGCTAGGCAGAATCTGGGGCTGTAAGAGGGCTCAGTATGAGAACTTGAGGAACTCCCCTGCTAAGCAGTTGCAGCTGGTGAGTGAGAGAGCCAGGCCTAGGACAAGCCAGGTCTGGCTGGGCTGCAGCATACATCCACAGCACACACTGGTACAAGTAAGATCAAAGATGGGGTGCAGGCCAGGTCAGACCACAATACCTGTCAGTTCTCATGAGGGCTCAAGATGGGCCAGGATGGTCAACACAGCAGCCACTGGCTTATACATGAGTTGAATCTATCTGAGCTAAACTGCAGCACCCAACAGTACGCCTGAGCTGGATGGGGCATGGGGCAGACTGGTCCAGACCGCAGCTCATGCTAGCACACACAAAAACCAAGGTGGCAGGGGTTATTGGGATTGTTCCAATGAGTCCACAGCACCTGCTGATGTGATTCAACACCCAGTTTGTGGCAGGCTGGCTGGGCTAGGCAACAACATCCATTGGTTCACATGAGATACAGAGTTGGGGATGAACTGAACAGGTGGCTGCATTCACCAGCATATGACAGAATCTGATACTGCAATGGTTGGCACACAAGAGTCAAGGGGATTCCCCAACTAGACCACTGGACCAAAGACTCTGGCCACAGGGAAAAATCACAAGATTTGTGGTTCAACCTTGGAGTGCATGTATTGCTACTGGGCTGCCTTAGTTGCTGATGCCTGTGTAGTGGACAGCATACCCAGACACACACATAAGACATAACAGCCAGCAAATCTGGGCCAGCAGGGGACACCAAGTGCCTTATCAGAGGATAGAAAGCAGAACAGGTTGGCCCACTCTCCTTGCCAAGCCTTGCAACACATTCCTGGGCCTATGGATGCACTAAAGTGGACTTAGCCAATAGACCTTGGAAAGAATTTTTTCAACCCTGGTGCAAAACAAAGCTGACAATGTCTCAGAACTCTCAAAATCATGCAAATCACACCCTTGGAATGTTCTTCCCAAATCAAAGTCTCTAAGGTATCATCAAATCCTCCATCCCAGGGTGCTGATATAGTTTGACAGCAAGGAGTGGCCTCTTCCCCCAGCAAGAACACAGGAGAAAAAAATTGATGCAACTGCCCCACCCACTTTTCTCCATAGCTTGACCCTGCCCACCGAGCATCCCTTAACTATGTAGCAATCTTTAAAATGTTTAAAAAGGTGTTTAACTAAATTACCAGCAGTGCAATTTTGTAGGACAAAATCATTAATAAAACCTCTCCTAATAAAAAACATGTATCAAAGAGGTAACCTGAATAAATTACTAGATAGGGTTATTTGTGGGCCCGAAAGACAAAAATCCACCGGGGGTATTATAGGAAGTGTTCAATCTATACCCATTTTCTGTTTGGTACATGGAAAACTAGATTCTGTAACTGAACTTTCATCTCTGTTAAATGCTATGCTAAAAGGTGAGATCATGAAACCATTCCCTGACAATATTAAACTATGCTTCCGAAGTTCAGATAACAGGTTGGGAAATGTTACTGGTACTTCCAATTTACACAATATTTATCATTTTGAGTGTAACTGCCCAAAATAACATGCCACTGGATTTCTACTCAGGCCGAAAACTTCAGAATACCCCATACCAGAAAAAATACCATGATCAGGGATTATAACAGGAAATAAATACTCTCATAAATCAAGTACATTTTCAACAGCGAACACTTGCATCACACTACAAATAGTGCACCCTTATTTCAGTGCACACTGTATCACCCCCTAAGACTTCACTAACAGCAGTAATGCTTGTATCGGCTAATACTCACTTTTTATTCCAACCACTGTAATGTATAAAATACTTCACTTGTTTGTCCTTTATAGCAATCTTTACACACTGAAAAAAAAAAAAAAGAAAAACAATTGTCAATAGGTACGACGGCTTTCAAGTACTCAATCGTTCAAAGACACAAATCAAACTCTTTTTGGTAGCAAAATGAACAAATGGAAAATTGGACTTTCTATAGCCAAGATCATGTAAAGTACTGGCCATAAAACTGTAATATAGTCATTAAAGAATCAGCAAAGCTGAGAGCCACAGGGTAAGTTTACCCTAGATGTGCTACCCAAGGATAACAACAGCTGAGAATTACACTGATTTTTAAACAAGCGTTTGAATTACATTTTAAAAAGACATTAGCTCATAAGCTTATCTGTCTCAGAAAATTAACTTAGATGGCAAATTGAGAACTTCTTTAAAAAATGGTTTTGTGGGCCCAGCACAACAGCCTAGTGGCTTAAGTCCTCGCATTGCATGCACCAGCATCCCATATGGGCATGCTGCATGTCCCGACTCCACTTCCCAACCAGCTCCCTACTTGTGGCCTGGGAAAGCAGCAGAGAACAGCCGGAAGCCTTAGGACCCTGCACCTGCATGGGAGACCCAGAGAAACTTCCTAGCTCCTGGCTTTAGATCAGCTCAGCTCCCGACATTGCAGCTACATGGGGAGAGAACAGGAGATGGAAGATCTTTCTCTTGTCTCTCCTTCTCTCTGTAAATCTGCCTTTCCAATAAAATAAGTAAATCTAAAAATAAAAAAAAAAGCTCTACCAGAGGCAAATAAAAAAATAAGTTACTTCAAGTCATTCTAAAATTAGCTATTGCCAAGAGAACAAACAGCAAGTTTAGATTTACTATTAAAAAGTAACACTGAAGACAGGCCTCATAACCTAACATTACAAACTGTATGTATCGAAGCCCATCACAGTCCAAGACACTTACAAACTTTAAATAGTTCCCAAACATTTCCATGAAACCAAATTCAGCCATTTTAAAACGTGAGTACATCTATTAAACCACAGTAAAAAGTAGTGAAAATAGCTATTCTTTAATCAGAATTTTCACAACCACCTTTTCAGATACACTATCCATCAATATTTTACACAGAAATTGCTTTTTCTAATTACACTGCTTCATATTTATTTTATTCATTAAAATAGATATGATTCAGAGTTACAAGTACAGTCAGTTCTCCACTGAAATCAGTTTCTTACAATCGGAGAAGAGGAAGCAGAACTCAGAGTTCTGCTTTGCCAGACGCAACATCAAGCAATCTAATGTATTCACTTTAAATGTTACCAATACCTTTAACCTAACTGGTTCAATGCTTTCTCAGCTTGTGTGCATGTAAAAGTAACTGACAATATAAAACACATTTGCTCCCACACAACCAATCTTCCACCTCTATCACTTCCTTCAAACACTTACAGGACCTTTAGCCAGTTAAGAAAAAAAAGTAGAATAGATCAGCAACATTTAAATATTTTGCCCCTTTAAGCAAGCAGTAAGAAACCCATAAACATAAAGAGATCAAGAGGAAAACCCACAAATTTATAACCTTACAAACTGGTAGGCTAGGCCCCTACCCGCAGCACAGGCATCCCGTATGGACACCAGCTGCAGCAACACAACACTCCATGGAGTCCTGGATGCTCCAGTCCGATCCAGCTCCCTGCTTACAGCCTGGCAAAGCAGCAGACGGCGCAAATACTGGGGCCCCTGCACGCACATGGGAGAAGCTGGTGGTCTGAGACAGGCTCAGCTCCAGCTGTTCCTGTGGCCATCTGAGAAGTAAACCAGCAGATGGAAGATCTCTGATTTCTCCTCCTTCCGTAATTAGGTTTCAAGTAAACACGAGCAAACAGAAAAAACACACTGAATTATAATTTTAATCAAATTCTCAAAACAAAACAGGTCTCATACCTTTGCTTCATAAAGAAGAGGCCCATGAAAGCACAATACCCGTTCTCCTGTGAAAGCAAAAGGCACATTGTAATTCCTCTTCACATAAAGGAAACCATCAATGTATGGCAATTCACTGTTCCTAGCAAACTAGAGAAACTTCAAAGACTATATATGAACAACACTTCAGATCACACTTCAACCCTATCCTACAACAAACAAAATTAGAATGCCAGCTTCTTTAAATTTATCATGTGTACAGGAAATAAGATCCTTTAACAACACAGACTGGGTGTTTTTAACTATCTGGAAACGCCATTTTTTTTTAAGCTTTCCCCCTTGGGTTCAAGTTTAGGACTTCATACTTTACCTTTATCTCTGCTTCCAACTCTTACCGAATACAATATTCTACACACTAAAATTTCATTACACAGGCCCAGCGTAATAGCGCAGTAGCTAAACCCTCGCCTTGAACACGCCAGGATCCCATGAGTGCTAATTGGTGTCTCAGCTGCTCCACTTCCCAACCAACTCCCTGCTTGTGACCTAGGAAAGCAGTAGAGGATGGACCAAAGTCTTGGGATCCTGTACCCACACTGGAGATCTGGAAGAAGATCGTGGCTCCCGATTGGCTTGGCTCCAGCCGCTGTGGCATTTGGGACTTGAACCAGCAGATGCAAGATCTCTCCCTTTCTCTCTGGAAATCTGCCTTCCCAATAAAAATAAAAATCTTAATTAAAAAAAGAAAAAAGGGCCCGGCGCGGTGGCGCAGTGGTTAAGGTCCTCGCCTTGCACGCCCGGGATCCCATATGGGCGCCGGTTCTAATCCCGGCAGCCCCGCTTCTCTTCCAGCTCCCTGCCTGTGGCCTGGGAAAGCAGTCCAGGACAGCCCAAAGCTTTGGGACCCTGCACCCGCGTGGGAGACCCGGAAGAGGCTCCTGGCTTCGGATCGGCATAGCATCGACCGTTGCGCTCACTTGGGGAGTGAATCATTGGACGGAAGATCTTCCTCTCTGTCTCTCCTCTCTGTATATCCGCCTTTCCAATAAAAATAAAATAAATCTTTAAAAAAAAAAAAAAAGCTTTCAGCTTACGCAAGAGCACTGATGAAGCACAGGCTCATGACCACTAACCAGGTTCATCACCCTCTCCTGGTTCCTTAAGTGACCCAACTGCTCATTCCTTAAATCTATTCAATGTTTGGGTGCGGGTTGGCAACCATCAGAACTTACACTAGCAATGGAGTCCACCAGCAGGACTCGAGACTGAAATTAAATGGCTATGTATATAAAGGACACCTGGCTTGCCAAGTGCCTGTTTTAAGTACTGGCTCTGCTTCCAATTCCAGATTCCTACTAATGCACACCCCAGGGGGCAGTAAGTGATGGCTCAAGCACCTGGGTCCCTAGAACACATGTGGGACCCCCAAACTGAGTTTCTACTCCTAGCTTCCACCTGGTCCAATCCCAGCCCTTTAACCAACCAGTAGATAATACCTCTTACTACCTTCCAACTAATAAAAAAAATTTAAACAGCTGTCTACAAAAATAACTTGGACATCATCTCCACTCTACAGGCAAATCAGGCAATACCTGTAGTCAACCAACAGACAGGAGATACACTGATTTTCAAATAATTTTTTAAAAATGCCTTAGGGGCCAGCAGTGTGGTATAGTGGGCAATCTAGATACTGCCAACATCCCATATGAGCCAGTTCAAGACTCATTTGCTCCCTGCTAATGTGCATGGGAAAGAAGATGGCTCAAGTCCTTGGGCCCCTGCACCCACGGGAGAAAAGGATGAGGTTTCTGGCCTGGCCACCATCACAGCCATTTGGGGAATGAACTGGCAGATGGAAGCTCTCAAATTCTGTCTTCCAAAGCAACCTTAAATATGTTTTTAAAAATGTTAGGAACCACCCCAGCTAGTCACCTACCTAGTTGTCTTGTAGCTAGCTGTTACACTGCTGGGAGAAAAGCAGTCAACAGCTGGTGGGAACTATGAGCCGGGTTAACATGAAACTTGTATCCACCATACCAGTGAGCCAGCATAGCTTATTTTTTTTTCTCCTCCCCTCTTTTAAAGGTACTGGGGGGAGGTTCACAGGGTAACTGCTCAATTGACTAATCCTCCACTAGCAAATCATAACCACTTGGGTCCTATATGAGCACTAGTTTGAGTCCAATTGCTCCACCTCCCATCCAGCTCCCTGCTTGTGGCCTGGGAAAGCAGTGCAAGATGTCCCAAAGGCTTGGGGTCCTGCACCCACACAGGAACCCAGAAGATGCTCCTGGCTTTGGATCAGCTCAGCTCAGGCCATTGCCTTCTCTCTTCTCTGTAAATCTGCCCTTACAATCAAAATGCCTCTCTTCTCCTCTGCCTCCCCCTTCCCCCTCGCCTTTCCACTACCCCGTCCTGTTCCTGCCCCACTGGAATAAACCTCCTCAACTAAAAGGAAAAAAAATCAAAATGAATATATCTTTATTAAACTTAATTAAATAAGTTTTATATAATGGCCTTTCATTTAAGGGGATGTACAGTAACTGTGTAATGGAGACTATCATATCCAGTAGTATGTTATTTAACTTCACAGTGTTGTAAATTCCTATGTTTTTCTTCCTGCTGTTGATTTTATATTGTGGCTTTTCATTTAAGGAGATATATAGTAACTGTGTAATGGAGACTATCATATCCAGATGTGAGGATACAATGCAGTATGCACCTCTATTTGCAGATCAAAGATGGACTCCCAATGAACTGTTAACTATACCTTGACAATAGGATGCCGGACTTTCTGCCATTGTCCATGTCCACAATGATGGACATATGACTGTGTATGAAGAACTATGCTGTAGTAATAATAAAGGAGAACTCAGGGCTGGGGGGATCACTTGGAGAGGGGGTAAGAAAAATCCCAGGGCCTATGGAAATGTATCATAAAATGATAATAAAAGAAAAACAACAGGTATGTAGGGAAGGCAGGGAACACCAGGCAGGGGCAGGGAAGTGCCACCTAGACCCCCAAGGAAAAGGGGAGCTGCAGACTGCCCAGGGAAGGGGTTCTGAGCACATACTGGAGTGGAAGCAGCTGAGGGCATGTTTGACAAGGAAGGAAATTATTTCTGGGGGCTTTCATGAACTTGGCCATTGCACTCACAGGCAGGCAAAAAGTGGAGATGGAGTGGTTTAGAGGGGATAAACCAGGTGGCATATCTGGATCAGGCCAAGAAACACCCCCCCACCCCACCCCCGTGCTGGGAGCAGGTTGTGGGTGATGTCAGCCTGGGCCAAGCACACACCAAAACACAAAAGAACTGGATATGATGGCAGTTTCTGTATGGGATGTGTGGGCTCACTTCTACGGGACTGCAACACCCACTAGTTTACAAGAGCTGGGGGGTGGTGATGGGCTGAGCCAGGCTGGATAACAAAAATCACTTTCAGGAACCCACTTGACACTTGCCAAAGCTGGGGCTGGGGGCAAACCAGTCCAGACTGCAACACCCACCAGTTCACATGAGGGCTACGGCTGGGAGTGGGCCAGGCTGGGCTAGGCTGCTGCATCCACGGGGGAGCTGAGACTGAGCCAGGCCACAGCACCTGCTGGTAAATGTCAAGAACGGGGTTGGGCCTAGTAGGAGAACCTCCAGGACTTCCCCACTGGGTCACTGCTTCCACTAGTGAAAAGCTGGGACATAGCAGCCAGCTCATGGACACCAAGTGCCTTGACAGAGGATGGAAGGCAGAACAGGTTGTACTACTCCCCACCAGGCTTTGTAGTTATGTTCCTGGGCCTGTGAATGCACTGAGGTGGACTTGGTCAGTCAATAGAGCTTTAAAACATTTTTCTCAGCCCTGGTGCAAAACAAAACTAATGTCTCAGAACTCAAAACCAATCCAGGGTCCAGAGCGGTAGCCTAGTGGCTAAAGTCCCTGCCTTGCACATGCTGGGATTCCATATGTGCACTGGTTTGCATCCCAGCTGCTCCACTTCCCTTCCAGGTCCCTGCCTGTGGCCTGGGAAGGTGGCAGAGAACGGCCCAAGACCTTGGGTCCCTGCACCTGCATGAGAGGACCAGAGCGGACTCCTGGTTCCTGGCTTTGGATCAGCTCAGCTCCACCCACTGGGGTCACTTCGGGAGTAAATCAGCAATGGAAGATCTTTCTGTCTCTCCTCTCTGTAAATCTGACTTGCCAATAAAAATAAGTATTCCAATCACATCTTTGGAACATTCTTCTTACACTGGGTCTCTAAGGTGTTACCAAATGACTGTCCCCCATTCCCAAGTGCTGATGTAATTTGACAGCAAGCAGTGGCCCCTCACCTTACCTCACCTGCGTCATGACACAGAAAAAAACTAGCAAACATTTGTCCCACACACCTTCCTCCATACTTGAACCCACCCTAATCAGAGATTCACAGGCATGTCAATCATCTTTCTCAACTATGTCAACAATTCTTAAAAGAAAATTAGAAATTAAAATACGCTAGCATCTAGTAAGAGTAAGAATTGGAAGCCATCTCAACCCTGCATGCAAGTCAGGCATTTGTCAGCAAGCAGTAGAAACAGATCTCATCCATGCAGCTCACTTAGTGTCCACTAACCCAGAGTTAAAGGGGTTAACACGATCAGCTCTCTTAGCTCTAAAAGTAAAACTCCTACTAGCTGAATTTGTAAACTATTGGGAAATATTGATTTTAAACTTAAGTCTTCAAAATTGCCTACAACAGTTCTACAGCCAAGTCTTCTGGTTCTAATATATTTATCAATGTCTTTCCTGGGTTTGATTTGTCAAGCAATGTCACATTTACAAGGGGCACTGACAAAACAACCAAAAAAAAAAAAAAAAAAACCCACAGTTGTGAAAATTCCCTAGACTTTATATTACGGTCATTTTTATGAGAATGACAGATCAGTCACAAGGAAAGGAAGACCCAGGTGAAGAAAAAAGCTCGCACGAAAGCATACCCCCTGGAACACAGGAAAAACAAATGAAAGTTAAACAGATCTTGCCATTTACACCATGTTATCAAAGCTGGATGTCGTTTATTCAGGACAATCTGACCAATAATTCTTTGGGAGTGGTTTTCAAAACAAAGCATCTCCAACCCTCACCAAAGACCTTCACTACAGGAATTCAGTAACTGTTCTTTTCACCTACATAAAACATGCACAGTTCCACTCTATAGAAACTGAATGCCCAAACCAATGATTCCTCAGTCTATAGGTAAAAAATAAAACCTACATTTCTAATAAACGAAGAACTGCTACTGCTATGTTTCCTGGTCCACTCTGTAAGTATATTTTAAAAGTCCTATAAAAATGGCTACTCCTTTTTCCTTATCTTGATGGCTACTGCCAAAAACTACTACAGGAAGGCTGACACCTTCTGACCTACATCCTAGCTATCTACCTGGTCGTACTATTCTGTGGAAAAACCACAGTTAGCTGAACAGAATGACCTTGGACAACAAAACATTGATTTTTTTTTTCAGTGAACCAGGAAGAATGGTCATTTGAAAAATACAAGCCACCACATATGGTATGGTTTCTTAAAGCGCACTCCAACCTTTTCAAAATCAAGATTAGTAGATTCTGACATTCCATATTCCACTGCTTTGTACTCACTAATACCAAGGGCAGATCAGCCAGTAAGTTCATCACTGACAAAGAGGGAAAGACACCCAGTTTTCTCAGCCCTGTATTTAAAACAATCCTAAGTGGGAAGACCCAAGCCCACTGTAGTCATCCTGCAGAAAAACTGCTTACTGAATTTTCATCTGCCTTGAGATGTTGCCTCCACGGTTAAGTGATAAATTCGGCCATTTCCAATTTCCCCGGCTGCATCATACTCCTTAATGTCTCAATTCGGCCAGCACTGAACAAGTATCCTCTCACCACAGTATTTCCTGAACAGCTGAAGGTCTCCTGAAGAAGCCTATACACTCAGTTTTGGAGCAATTGAGAAACCCCCGGAAGTGCACAGCCCACAGCTGGGGTACCCTGTTCCCTTTTCTCTCCATCACCCCCGTCTGCCACTCCCACTTCTTAGGTTTCTGCAAATACACACAACACAGTATTGGGATGTAAAAAACACTACTGTACCGTGTGTTTCTCTGTAGAGGCAAACGGTTTATATTGATGCTTGCTTGAAACAGTAAATTTCAACCTTGACATAAAAAAATTTTTTACGCCGTTCGAGCTCAAAGACTTTAAGTTCTATTCATCGACTTTGGATTAAGAAGCCTTGCTGTAAACATCTAGTAAAATAACGACTCCGGAGAAGACAGCCACAGCCTCTCAAAGTGGGGGAGGCAAGCACAACTTCACATCCCTAAAGACACTGGAGCGCACACGAGACCCCCACAGACACACGCACAACGGAGGCTCCGTGGACCACGCTCGTAGATGGCTCAGGCACCGACACACCCAGACATACTTACAAGGCCCTGTTCCAGCCGCCAGGAACGAACCCAGGTGTTATCACAACCAGACACACTTCTGCCCACGCCAAAAGTCGTTTCCACACACCAACCACCGCACGCGGAGCGAGCGAGCCGCCGCGCCATCCCGGACGCCAAAAGGGATGCCCGCAGGCCACACCATCCCGACCCGGCCCCGCGGCCCCCGTCCGCCCGCCGCGCCGAGGCCCACGCGGGGAAGGGTCCAGCCCGCTCCGACCGCGCCGAGGCCCACGGAGGGCAGCGCTCAGCCCACGCGGGGCAGCGTCCAGCCCACGCCCGGGCTCCTCCCGCACGAACTCGGTCGCCCACGACGACGCCGGCGGACATGTTGGCGCGGCCATCTTGCGGCGGCCATTTTACAACGCACTTCTCCCGCCCCGGGGCGGCGAGCCCCATCCTCCACCCCCGCAGCCGCCGCCCGGACCCCCAACCCCGCCGCAGCTCGGCGTCCACCCCCAGGGGGACTGGGACGGCCGCAGACGGAGAGCCGCACCCCGCCGTCCGCTCCGGCCCCTTCCCTCCCCATCCCACGCCACATCACTTCCCCCTAACGGCCGCCATGGCGCGCCCGTCGCCTGCCCACAATAGGCTGCCTGGGCCCCGCGCCCTCCTCCTCCGAACAAAAACAAACGCACGGCCGAGGCTCGCGGCCACGCGCCGGGCGAGTCGCCCGCCTGCTTGCCGGGGCCTCCACAAAGCCTTCCCTGCCCACGCCGCCCGGGTGTCGGCCTCCGCAATGCGCTGCCCCGCACAAAGCGCTGTCCGCCGCCCACCCGACCCCCGGCCTCCGCCATGCCGCGCCGCCTTCCTCCCAGCCCGTTAGGTGTTTGTATTCTGCAACCAAGGACGCACGCTTACCCTCCTGAAATTTAGGCTTCGGGTCTTGTTTGGGCGCCATTTATAAGTGATTCGTCGCCGCCACCTCCTTCTCCCACCACCCCCGACTACCGCCCCCTACTCTCTACGCCACCCAAGTCCGCGTCACAAGCGCCGTCAGGCACCGCCGGCTGTACATCCTGGGCCCGATTTGCCAGCGGCCGCAGACCTCACAGCCCGGCGACCCGCGCAGCCGCCCTGCCAGCCAACGGCCGGCCGCCGCGCACGCGCCCCTGCGCCGGCGCCGCCCCGGGGCACGCCGGGAGTGGTAGTTCCGAGCTGCAGGCCTGAAGGCCGCCGGGGAGGGGCACCCGACCCCCTCCCCCCAACCCCGCGGGCTGCTGCGAAAGGCCCGGCGGGTCCACCTTGGTGGGTTCTGGAAACGGGGTCTAGAGAGGTCGGAGGAATGGATGTGGAAGAGGACACTCCCCTAAGTCTGGCCGCCAAGATGTGCGAAGCTGCCTGGGGGTCGCCTTCTGGAAGCTTCCTTATTGAGCAGGTTCATGGCCGACGTGGGGCCCTAGGCTCAATCAACACGATGGCCCAGTGCTTACTGAGTCCAGGACAGAGTTCTCCCTCAAATAGTCCCCAGCCGATCTGCACGCCCTGGTCTCTTTGCATTCCTAAGCCCTCATTGAGGCGGTTTGGCATGGCCTCAGTTCACTGCGATTTCTCCTTCAGTCCTCATTTAAATACAGCCCCTTGAACTGCAACAACTCTTTGTTCCCTCGAATACGTAGCTCATCTTCCCTCCACTTAAAGCATGGAAGACAAGCAAGAGCCTTTTTTATGATCCCAGAACCACCAAAATTAGGCCTTATCCCTCTTTTAATTTTGTTTTGTTTCGTGGAACTCACCAGCTCAACTAGCTAGTCCTCTGCCTGCAAGAACTGGCATCCCGTAGGGACACCAGATGGAATCCCAGTTGTTCCACTTAATCCAGCTGCCTGCTTGTGGCCTGGAAAGCAGTCGAGAATGGCCTAAAGTCTTGGGATCCTACGCCCGCGTGGGAGACGCAGAATAACTCCTGGCTCCTGGCTTCTGATCGCCTCAGTTCTAGCTGTTGTGGCCACTTGGGGAGTGAACCAGCAGTTGGAAAATCTTTCTATCTCTCTTTCTATAAATCTGATCTGCCTTTCCAATAAAAAAGAAACATCTTTTAAAAACACATGTGTGTGTCATCTTGTAAGGGTTTCCTGTGTTTCTCTTTATGAATACGTGTGTTATGTGTGTATGTAGACTCTGATCTTCCATGCTTGACTTCTCTTTCGCTTTTCACTACATATTTGTTTATTTGAAAAACCAAAATTATAGAGAGGTGCAGAGAAAGAGTTCTGTCTGTGGTTTCACTCCACAAATGGTCACAAAGGTGTTCAGGACCTAATTTATTGAGTATGTGCTTCCAAAATAGACTTTCTCCTACAAACCACAAATACCCAACACAGCAATTCCCTAAAATCCTATCATTATAGCCCCATTTCTTCATTTGTTTCCCAAAAATATTTTTATATGTACAGTCTTGTTTTTTTAAAAACAACATCCAGTCATTGGCACTATATTAAATGTAATTAAACTGCTTTTTTTAAATTAAAGATATCTTTTCATTGAAAAGGCAAATTTTACAGAGAGGAAAGACAGAGGACGAGAGCTATTCCATCCACTGGCTCACCTCCCCAAATGGCTCCAACAACCAGAGCTGAGCCAATCTGAAGCAGGGAGCCTCCTTCAGGTCCCCCATGTGGGTGCAGGTGCCCAAGGACTTGAGCCTTCTCTACTGCCCCAGGCCACAAGCAGAAAACTAAATCAGAAATGGAACAGCCAGGACCAGAACTGAGGACTGTATGGATACTAGTGCTGTAAGGTGGAGGATTAGCCTGTTGAGCCAGCGCACTGACCCTGATAGATCTCTTAAGCCTTTTTAAATTAGTGCTGATGTTCTTATTTATTTATTTATTTGTGTTGTTTTTTGGGTCCATCACAGAAGCCTAGCAACAGCTAAAGTCCTCACCTTGCACACACTGGGATCCCATATGGGCACCAGTTCATATCCCGGTGGCCCACTTCTCATCTAGCTCCCTGCTTGTGGCATAGGAAAGACAAGAACAGCCCAAAGCATTGGGACCCTGTGCCTGCGCCTGCGTGGGAGACCCAAAAGAAGCTCCTGGCTCCTGGCATCTGATCTCCTCAGTTCTGGCCATTGTGGTCACTTGAGGAGTGAATCATCAGATGGAAGATCTTCCTCTCTGCATCTCTTCTCTCTGTATATCTGACTTTCCAATAAAAATAAATAAATACATATATATATATTTTTTTTAATTATTGTTTTAGTGGAGAAACTTATGTACAGAGAGAAGAGACAGAGAGATCTTCCATTCATTGGGTCACTCCCCAAGTGGTCACAACAGCTACACCTCAGCCAATCTAAATGCAGGAGCAAGAAGCCTTTCCTAGGTTTCCCATTCAGGTGTAGGATCCCAAGGACTTGGGCCATCCTCTACTACTTTCTCAGGACAAAACAGAGAGCTGGATAGGAGGTGGAATAGCTAGGAGATGAGCAGGCGCCCATATGGGTTACTGGCCCTAAAATTAATCCAGATGTTCTTAATCTAGACATCCATGCATGCTATCCAAAAGGTTCAGGAACTTAGGGGAAGAATGACATCCATATTTTCCCCGATCTCTAACAGAAAGTCCATGTTTACTTTTACTCCAAACCAAAGTAACAAACTGAAATCATATTAGCAGCAACTATGCCTTTGTTACCAATACAAATAATGTGTTTTGAATCACGCAGTTCCTGCAGCTATCTCAGAAATATCTTTGACATCCATCATCACTTTGAAATTACTTCTGTTACACCTGCTGTTGCTATAATAATTAAGCATCTACATTACCATATCACATTTTAAAATGTTTGGATAACTATTTATTATTTTACCTTTGGGTAAACATAGTGCTGTTTACACCAAATGTAGACATTAAATATATATATATAAATAATTTTTTCTTTTTAAATTAATTTTTAATAATCTTACATAGTTGATTTATATTATTTTTTTTTCCTGAAAACATAGTGAGAATTTCCTGACAAAGATCACAGCGTTGGGCCTGGCGCGATAACATAGCGGTTAAGGTCCTCACCCTGAACGCGCCAGGATCCCACATGGGCACTGGTTCTAATCCCGGCAGCTCCACAACCCATCCAGCTCCCTGCTTGTGGTCTGGGAAAACAGTCAGGGACGGCCCAGAGTGTTGGGACCCTGCACCCACGCTGGCTCCTAGCTTCAGATCGGCACAGCACCAACCGTTGTGGCCACTTGGGGAGTGAATCATCAGATGGAAGATCTTCCTCTCTGTCTCTCCTCCTCTCTGTATATCTGCCTTTCCAGTAAAAATAAATAAATCTTATATTTAAAAAAAAGATCACAGCATTAGAAAAGGGATGTGTATTATCATTTACATGTGACGATTCAATGAAGCAATATTTTCAACTAAATACACCACCCTATACCATGAGTATGTATTTGCTAACTACATTCATTTCCACAAGAGAAGACATGGGACAGTTGTCGTCCTGGTTCTGGCTTATTTCATTTAGCATAACGGTCTCCGGTTGACTTTGTTGCAAATGTCAGCATTCTGTCCTGCAGAAATAACTGCAGAAGTGCAATTGAACAGAATCGTGTTCCCTTCCAAGCCTGTGTCTCTTACTTTGTGCATTGAAGCACATTCTATGGAGAGGTTTCGTGGGCTTCACAAACAGATCCACTGGGGTTGGAGTGGGAGCCCTGGATATGAACAACAGCCACACACACACACACACACACACACACACACACACACTTTCGTAGTAGTGGTGTTGGACTTCGCTTCTGACATTTGCTTTCTGAAGAGTCAGAGACTTTTCGAATGCTGGGTATTCTGGATTTGTGTTTCTTCATCGGTTTTCCTTTCCCTTGTATTTTTAGAAATGTCAAATTAAGTCTACAGACTTGCTGAAGTGCAAATTGAATGTTCTTACCAAAAATGTTTTTTCAAGGGCTACAGGAAAGTGGATAATACTAATATGTTTTCCATATTGTTACCTTCATGTTTAAAAGGGGGGTTTTAAGGGAGAAGGCCCACCCAATTTCCCACCCTCCCCAAGTCCCGGGTGTAGGGCATGCTCTGAGGTTCTTGCTCAAGTGGTTTTGATATTGCAACAGTTATGAATCGCTGTCAATCTTGCCGCTCCAAGCACTATGAGGTCTTTGAAAAATCCACTGATTGACATAGTCCATCATAGCTTAGATGGTTGGTTGACCCGGTCTGTCTTCGCTCTTTTCTTTGTTATGGTTCTGAGTCCAGCATTTAGATTAGGAAGATCTCCAAAGAAACTTCTTGTATGTGCTAACAAGTACAGGGCCTGGCACCGTCCATCGCTCCAATCAGCTGGTGGTTGCAATTCCTGGGTTGGTTCTGTGTTCACTCCCGTCTTCCACTGGAGCCAATGGGTGTTGCAGTCCAGTCTGGTTCTGCCCAGCACATACTTGGCCCTCACATAAACCAGCGGGAGCTGTAGCCTAGGTTGGAGCGACCCACAATAACCCCAACCAGGCCCACCCCCTACCCTGGTTTGCCAGTAAGTGTAGCAGTAATCCAGTCTGTCCCACATCCCATTCCACCCCAGCCGCTGTCTTAGTTTTATGTCCTCCCGTGGAAGTGGTAACCCAAGAGGGATGAGCCCACTATTTCCCTCCCAGGCCTCTCCCACTCCCAGATTCCAGTTGATGCTGCCCAAACAAACCTCGCCCACTTTAATTTTGTTTGCACCAGTAGGAATAATCCGCCCAGCCTGGCTTTTCCCTGATCTAGTCCACATGAGGCGCACAGGTGTGGTAGCTCTGCCTAGTCTGGTCTGCCCCCATCCCAGCCCATGCTCTCCTGCGGAAGTAGCTGTCCAGCAAAGGAACCCTCCCTTATTCCCCTGCCAGCTCTGCCCACTTCCTTTCTTGTTCTCAGGCTGGTTGGGCGCTGCGGTCCCTTCTGGTACAGGCAACCTCACCTCGGCATTCCATAATGTGCACTAGTCTTTGTTGCGACCGACCCTGGGTCGACCCACACTGGTGCCTGGATTTGCCAGTGGATGATGTGGACAGATTCAGCCTGGTCTTGCCCCCACGTCTGCCAACTGTATGCCAGTGGGTAGGTTTCCATGGCCTTTTCTGGGCTGTTTCCTATCATGTTTCTTGCGTTTACCTGCTGGGTCTGTGTCCTGCCAGAGGAGTTGC